AACGTGGATTTGTTGGGATGACTTCCTAGACTGTTGATTTATATTTTCCATCACTCAAATGGAAACAGAGGCAGCAGGAGGTGCTTTTAATCGACCTCAGGACTCGACGGTCTTCGTTCACAGGGCAAAGTAAAGAAATGTTGCTGCAAAGCTGAAAACATTGAAATATCCTCATTTTACTCATTGAGGGGCAACGTACGATCATGACTCTTCCCTGTGGTGCAGCCCTAAATATTGTACGTCAAATCTGCCATTGGTCACGTCAGAATGAGGCTTTCTGCACGTCGGATGAGCAGCTTACTGAGTATTCAGAGTCCTGCGGAGGACGTATAGGATTTTGTGCTCTTTGACTAGCAGGACTAAATCACAGGTTCAACAAACTTTTTTTTAATCAGCGGGCCGCTGGTTGCACTGAAGGAGTTGGACTGTGCATTACTCTTTGGGGTGTTTATCCGATCCAATTTGGGGAATGTAATTCGATTGGACAACCTGTGCTGTGGCCGCCGTATTAAAGCGGTGGTATCCCGTTAAACAAAACGCCAACATGGGTTCACTCCCAGCCGTCAAATCTCAAGGTTTGCAGCTCATTTCTTTCGGCAGGTCTTTAGGTATCCGCCGTTATAATGACGTTTTAAAGTTGGCACTGTCCCATTGAGATTCTCTGAGGCCTGAGGATTTTCTCTCACCCTTCTTCTGGAGGGTAAAGGTATGAAGGCATCGCTCTTCAACTGTTAATAACTCCTGCCTACACATAACATTACTTCTGTGGAGTTTTCTTCTAAGCAAGTAAAGTAAATCCTCACATCCTTGAGGACCGATGAACAACATTTTCAACGCGGTAAGATTTTTGTTCACCTTTTGTCTTCTAGTTTATTGTCTCTTATCACCACCTGTAGATCTGTATTCAAATGATATCGACAAATTCACGGTTTCTTCATGGAATATCAGTTTATTGATGCAGTTACCAGACAGAAATACAATAGTTACCTGTCAAACGTATGTGCCCGTTGTATGGTCCTATAACCAGGCAATAGCACTCTAACAAAAACATTTCTCCATAGTTGCGTCCAACACGCTGCATGATGAGCTGTGACATGTGGTCAACATCCGCCTCCGTCCTGGCAGGAGCTGCATTTTCCTCTCTGAACTCAACTCTTTATTAGCACATTTATTTATCGGAGCGTAACGAGGAGATTGAAAGAGAAATGGCAGCGGGTGTTTTTCACACTTTTTCTTCTCTCCATATATATATATATATATATATATATATATAAGGAGAGAGCGAGCAGAGAAAATCTATATCTATCTCATTGAATGAGAAAATGTGTCCAAACTCAATCTCCACTGAGGGTTGGCTGTCTCCAGGCCACTTCTGTCATCTTTACATCTTCACTTTGTTGTCGTCTTTTCCTAAATGAGATGTGGTGTAGTATAACACTCAGGGCCCTCTTCACAGTGCTACCACTAATCACCAGACCCCTACCATTTTAATCATAATTAACAGATCAAAGAAGTGGAGAGAAGGGCAGTCATACATTATTAAACAGACTCTGCTTGTGCGTCTGTGTGTGAACGCTTGTGTATGTTGGGCACGTAAGTATTAATCTAGTTATCTGTAAGGGCACATTTCTCATTTCATAGTAGGCTGTGATAAAGTAGCACAAATGCTCCCCTAAACTGGGTTTTTCTACTGATGCATACTTTTGCTCTTCCCCACATTGTGATGGGACTCGTTTTTCCCAGAGGACCCTTAAAGTGCGGCTCCGTTGTGCCTCCCTACTCAGAAACACGCATAGACAAACGCACAAAACTTGCATTCAGGATTAGGGTCAAAGCGTCAGGGCGTCTTGGAGAGCATTTTGTTCTTTCCATCCTTACAAATGGCTAATAGCAGAAATCTCCAGTTTCATTTTTTTTTTTCACCTGGTTGTCGAAGTCAGGAAATGTAAGCTCATCTTTCCACTTAGCCACATTTGGATCGGCGCTGTCATTATATTGTACACTAATTGTAGTTTTTTTTGTTCCATTCCTACTTTGTTTTAATGACTCATCAGATGCCTGCGCTCGTATTCATTGCCGCAATTATGAAAGTTGAATTTGAGGTCGCTTCCTGTTTCTATTTTGTCCCATCGGCATCGCATCAATCTGTTCGAAGTGACCTTTCCTTTCTTCCGTTGTCGCCGACCCTCATCTTTTTAGCAACCCTCTTGAATTCCATCTCCGGGGGCTGTAATAAACCTGTAGTTAGCTGTTAAAAACCATGTGCATTTTAGACTAAATGGCCCCGAGTGTCTCTGCCTGCTGTTGGGTCTTGCAGCCAATGGGCCTTAAAATGACTTAATTTCCTATCTGCCTCCTGGGGGAGCTTTTAGGGGAGCTAAAAGCCGTTCACAGCCCTCAGAGAGTGAGTATCCGGAAAGCCTTGGGCTGCCGTGGGCCCCAGCTAAATCAAAATCACTATCTTTTTAATTGCCATGGGCATAATCGCCGCAGAAATAAATGCCATATACCCTAATTTCTAAAAGTCTAAAGTCTACATACAACTGCTTGCTTCGTCCAATCAACGGTTCTTAATGCAAATATATTTGGTTTCATAGAGTGAAGAGAACCAGAAAATATACATGGAAAAGATTAAACTAGTTCATTTCTGCCCTTCTACCAGGTTATCAAAATAGTGTCGGTCAATGTTGGTTTATACAATTATTACTTGATTTGGAAACTGCAACCAACAAAATGCCTTGAATGAGAATGTTGACTTCCTTCCAGTAGAGACACTTGTGTTTCTGTGAAGGTCTCAGCTCCTCATGATTAATTACATTGTTCGGTTTATATCATTTGAAGTGATACATCTCATGCTAAACTAAGCCACCAGGTGAAAATAATTAGCCTTTTTTCTATTTCCATCTGTATTGCTCTGATACATTTAACCTTGGAATAAACAAGGAACTGCCGGGAACCAATTAGGTACTTTTTTATTGCATGCAGACACTTGGCTTCAAAGCAGTAAAAGCAAACCGTTCTAACCAATGTTTTCAGTTAAACTGATTTACCCTCATTGATTACCTTATTGGCTTCAACGTCCCCGGATCCTATTCCCCTTCTCTGTGGCAAGGTTAACTTGTGTGCGTCGGGGCGTTTTCCTGCTTGTGACTGAATCGCTGTGTGGATTTTCTCAGCAGCTGTTTGCTATTCCTCCCTCGGGTCTTTGCTATCGATGTGATGTGGGATGGTTCCCTCTTAAAGGAAGCCAAGGCGCAGTCCTGCCCTCAAGGTCACTTTCGCCGCACCGAAATCAAAGGCCCTTCGGTGAATGACAGAGCTGCAAGTCTGACAAATATAATTAATTGTGTGTGTGTGTGTGTGTGTGTGTGTGTGTGTGTGAGAGAGACAGACACTGGCTGCTGGTTGAGTCGATGCAGGACAGGCCACAAGGGTGGGGGGAGTTTTAGTATGCACTCGATGAATGGGAGCACAGGGGCAGACGGATGGACCGAATGGGGGGGCGCGGCTATTGTCAGCATGGTCTGAAGCTGCTGAGGAATTAACCTGACCCAACGCCGCGCCTACAGCGCCCGTGACCCGGGCAGTCAAACCGAGAACGACTCTGCCCCTCCCTCCACACCCCTCCCTCCACCCTCCCCCCCCAGTGGAGGAAGAGAATTGAGTTCTGCAGTTGACCTTGAATGATTTCCAATCAAAGGCCGATCCCTTGTTGTGTTTTCACTCAGAACTCAGGAGATTAGACGAGAGGACAAACGGACACGGGGAGCTTTGGAATGTTTTTCTATTACGAGTCCTGTGGGGGCTGCTTGTTACTGCTCATTCTGCTTATTCGTCGTGGGAGTAGGATGAAATCAGTCACGGTGTGTCACTGTTGTAATTCACATCCTGGTAGAGGATAATATTTCTGGAAATTTGATTGAAAAAAAGAAAAACTACATGGTGGTATTGACCAATAAGTCATCTAATTATCCGTCATTTTGGGGCTCTGGGAAATTTCACTGCTTTAAGACAGGAATTATTGAAGTAAAATCAAAATATCAATCAAGGATGGAAAAAAAAAAACGATCACAGAACTTCAATATCATTGTATAAACATATATACGTATTCATCTCCATGCTTTTGTTAAAAGGTCTGTTGATTTTAATGAAATAAAAAGCTCAAATCACTGACAGTAGCACAGCATTCGCAAAAGGTAAAATACATCTCAATATTACACTTCCCGCATCCAAGCCTGAGCTCTACATCATGACACCTTATGACACATAGATATTGTTATTTGTTTATCCGAGCAGGGGAGCTGCGGCTGAGGACCTCGCCTGTCAAACCCTGTGTGTGTGTGTGTGTGTGTGTGTGTGTGTGTGTGTGTGTGTGTGTGTGGCTGTGTGTGTGTTTGCATGTGTCTGTGCCTGTGTGTAGATGTGTGCTGACAACATGTGTTTTTCCTCGTATTTGCAACACAGAGGCCTGTGTAAGACTGATCTATTGGGGAAGAATGATAATCTGGCTTAGCGGTGTGTTGTTTTCTTACTCTGAAAGCTGTGATCTTTCACTGGAGTGTATGTATTGTGCTGCTTCATGAACCCATTGCTTTTTAAAGTCAATTATTCCATAATTCTTCATGTTTTATTTGTTGTTGCCATGGAGAGGCCGGGCCGTCAGACCTCGGCGCGGTGGGCGAACCAACCCTGAACAGCGGGGGGAATAGATTGTTAATGACAGTGTTGTTGAAACCACTTTGGTGTCAGACCGACTGCCGGGTCGCAGTGGGCTCCCCTTGGGCGGAACACGAACGGAGGAGGATTTATAGAGAGAGAGCGGCTGGAGATGCCACCATCGGCAGCGCGCCATTGGAAGCAATCTCCCGGCTCAGTGTTGACCATAGCGCGACCCCCCCCCTCCCTCCGACGTGACCTTCGATCATGAGGATTTATAGGTCACAGCAGTGACACTGACGCCTCTCTCCGCCCCCCTCTCCTCCCCTCGTGTGTTTCTGCAGAAGGCATCTGCAACATGACAATGGACTCCAACTCGATGACGATGCCCATGTCCGATCCCAACCCCTGGGCAACGGCCATGAACAACCTGGGGATGCCGCCCATCGGGATCACCGGACAGCAACTCATGCCAGGTACCAACCACGCAACAACAACAAAAAACACGAGAACAGACGCCTTGGTGTCGAACGTTCATTTCAATATTTCACCGACAAAGATACTGTCTCATTATGTTAGACAGTTGTTGGATACGGGCATTCTTTTACAGTCATGTATATCCAGATGTTATTAGCTGAGAAACATAAAGATTTAGTCCAGTTGAGGGTTTTGCTGCATTTTGCTTGCCCAGTATCAAGTACAGTGTATTTGTGATTTTAGGAATTTATATCCTATGATGTTAGTTTGATGTTGTTTAGTAACATCAGAACTGCACCTTTCCTCCGTCCGATCATATAAATTTGATTTATTTTCACTGCAAGAGTTTTTCCCCCTCTGGCTATTTTCTTTTTAAGCCATAGCAAAGTGTTCTTTTAATTTATTTTTTTAATGTCAACGATTCCTCAAGAACTATTTAAAATTGGATCCATTTCCAGAGGCAGTTTGATGTGTTCTGCATCATCAACAGATCCTTTTAATTCTGTCATTCACATAAAAAAACCAGGACTAACCTGACTCGCTTCAGCCTGTAGGCTGTCTGCTACTGTGGAAGGGAATCCTCATGTGTGGCCGCATTGGCGGAGCAGCGAGTCATTTCTTTCAACTTAGAGCTGCATGTCAAGTTATGCAAGAGCAGTCGCATGTTTCCGTACATCCGCCAAAAGCCTGACACTTGCAGACTTCGTTTTCTGTGCCACTGACAACGTTTAAGTCTAAACGCCTCTCCGGAGCGAGCTGAAGCTGAACTCCTTGAGCTTTGTCCCACAAAGACAAAACCATGTATAGTTCTCCAATTTCATAGAGCATATGTCGGCTATTGTGCACACTAGAGAGCTGAGCTCAGCACTCAGTAACAAAAAGTCTATTGTCATTGCAGGCATGAAAATCCCTCACCTTTCGGGGCAATTCGCCGTTTTGAAACCAAAATAGGTGACCTACGTGAATCGTGTAGATTTGAGTTTTTGGGAGGGGGAGGGGCGGGGGGAATCACATTTCGTGGACTGCGCGATAAGGTGCGCGTGCCACAAGAGAGCGCGAGATTTCTGGGAACTGCGAACAGGGGGGGGGGAAAAAAAAAAAAA